TTTACCTTCATTTAAATGTGTTCGTGATTTACAATCGAAAATAAAACAAATTTTACTTGATCCCGATATTATTAAAACTAAAGAAGATATTATTAAATGTATACCATCTATAGAAAAATATATTGAACAATCATTTGATTTTATTCAAATAACAATAACATATACAAATTATACAATTGAACAAATTATTAAAGCAATTTTACCAGATGATTTAGTAAAAGATAAATGTGTTAATACTGGTTCAGGTTATAGTATTATTGGACATATTGCTCATTTTAATTTAAGAGATGAAGTTTTGCCATATAAACATATTATAGGTGAGAGTTACTTAGAAAAAGTTGTCTGTTAAACTATAATAATAGAATCAGAAATAGATATTGAAACAATATTTTTCTTGATCTTATTATTATTATTTTTAATTCTATTTTGTATATGTTTTCTTCCAAGAATTTTAGCTCAAGTAATTCTGGACAAATTACCAAATGTAAAAACAGTTGTTAATAAATTACATGAAATCGATTCTGTTTATCGTAATTTTGAATTAGAAATTCTTGCTGGTGATCCAAATACTATTGTTAAATGTCGTGAAAGTAAAGCAATATTTCAATTTGATTTTGCAAAAGTTTATTGGAATCCTCGATTAAGTATATTTTTAAAAAAAATTTTTCTTTTCATCTATTAAAAAATTTTTTCATTCAGGTACAGAACATGAACGTATTATTGAAAGTCTTTATCCTAATGATATTGTTTTTGATGTATTTGCTGGTGTTGGACCATTTGTTGTACCAGCTTCTATGCTTGGTTGTATAATTTATGCAAATGATATTAATCCAGAATGTTATAAATGGACGAATATTAATTTTAAAAAGAATCAACCAAAAAAATCCTCTCGAGAATATCATATATTTAATCTTGATGGACGAGAATTTTTACGTACTATTGCTTTATTACAGATTGAAAATTATCAAAAACAATTCATAGAAGATAAAGAAAAATTTCAATATTTATCAAATAGTAAAATTGTTATTTTAATGAATTTACCTGGACTTGCTCTAACATTTTTGGATGTTATTTCTGAATGGTTATCAATGAATATTGAAGATAAAGAACAATGGTTATTACCAATTCATATTTATTGTTATACATTTTCAAGAGGTGAAAATCGTATTGAAGATATACAAATAAGATTAAAGTCAATAATACCAAATATAAATCATGATCAAATATTATATCGATTTGTTCGACAAGTTGCACCGAATAAAGATATGATGTGTGCACATATTAGTCTATTTGATAAGAAAAAGAAATATGAATTAATAACAAAAGAAAATAATAATTGAAATAGTAAAACAATTTCAACAAAAATTTTTTCCGAATAAACAAAAATTTTCTTTTCTTTCATATTTATGTTTTAATTTATATGCAAAATAAAAATCAAATTTTCATTGTTGCAGATGCATTCTTTAAATTTAATTAAAACATTATTAATTGAAGGTGAGTTAGACACTATAAATTTGAATTAAATTGATTTACTACTGATCATTATCTTTTTATTGATTTGTACCGTGACGTTCTAATCTGAAAAAGTATTTAGATATATCCTAAGATCAAAAAGATCTTGTTTAAAATTTTTTTTGAACCTAAGACGTAGAGTTATCGTTCAATTTTCTGTCACGTGAGTTTATAACATGTATAAATACTTCACAATTGAGAACGATGTAAATATATATCGCTCTTTATACCTATAATTCCAAGTATTTTGAATGAAATTCACCAGTCTTTTGTACTTCTACAGTTGTTCGATGCGTATACAAAAAAGTTCTTTTCAGGTGTGTTCGTCGACTTTGAATGATTCTAATTTAGTTCGTTCATACTAGTAGTACTTGAGAAAATTTATTCAATTTCTTGTCTCGTATGGTACAATAAAATGCATTACGTATCATTTTTTGAATTGTAATTTTTTTTTCTGTTCGTTTTTTTTTGTCTCAAAACAGTATAATAATATTGTATCTGTATTTTGATTCTTCGTTATATACTTAAAACTGGGTCGAAAATTCAATAAAACGATCGTCAATTGGCTTCAAAGGTTTGTAGGAATGAACGGATTTTAGCTTTCAGTTAAAGTACAATATATTTTCGTAGAAGATAGTTTTTTGCTTTGAATTTCGATCATAATCGTTATGACAACTTAAGTTGATATCATACATTTAAGCATATTACGTTAAGTGAAAGAAATAGACTTCAATAATAAATCTTTGTTATGATTGTATCATTCATACAAATTGATTGATCAATTTTCTATGTTTATTTATTAGGCAATATAGGCGTTGGTAAATCAACAATAATGTCTCATATTACATCAATTTATCCATCGAATCTTGTTCAAGTTCATCGTGAACCAGTTGAAAATTGGATGAATATAAAAGGTTTTGATCTTCTCAAAGCTTTATATTCTGAAAGTAATCGATGGACATTTGCATTTGAAATGACAGCACTATTATCACGTGTTAAAAACCATCTCAATACAGTTAATAATCATCATATTGATATATATGAACGTTCAATTCTTAGTTGTTTTCATGTATTTATTCGTCATGCTCTTGAACAAAACTATTTAAATGAAACTGAATATAAAATTCTTCGAGATCATTTTGAATATAGTTGTCAAAAAACACTTGATTTATCACAAACATTGATATTCTATTTTGATTTATCACCAAAAGAATGTTTTGAACGTATTATTAAACGTTCACGTCAATCAGAATTCAATATTGATTTAAAACGTTTGGAACAAATAAAACATTATTATGATGAATTTGTAAAGAATTTTAATTTATGTCCTATTAAAATTATTGATGCATCACAACCAATTAAACAAATGTATCAACAAATTGATTCTTTACTAAATCAATATATTAAACAAAATCAAATACATCAAATCACACATGATAAACAATCACCTATTATGAGAAAATTAGAGAATTAATTGAAAAGAGAAAAAAAAAAAGGTATTTCATGATAAATATTTCTAAATATTTATATGTATTTAAATTAATTTTAACATCAAATTTATTTCTAGATGTCACATAAAATAGATAATTAAGCAGTCCGAATGTCATTTATTTTGTATTAAAAAAAACATCTATAAAAGAAAAATTATTGTTTTTCTTATTAAATAAAATTTATGCACAAAAGAACATGTTCAATTCTTGAAGAGTAAAATATGTACGATTGTCTTGAACATTTTTTTGCTTGAGCATCATGGATTCATACGAGAAGTTCTCCAACTAATAAATTGTTTTTGAGTCGAGACTATGTGTATTATGTAGATCCTAAATGAGCTATGAACACTTTGAAAAATTCATGTCCTTAGCTTATTGCTACGAAGGTACTACATTTTTACGATATTTTTTAAAATGAGGCTGTGGTTAATCTCAAAAAACATCAGAAAAAGTGATTCTAGAATTTTCGATTTGGAAATTTACATAGAAAGAGATCTGAATGTGAATAGTTTTATGCGAATGTTGGAGATCTTGTCGCTGTTTCCATTCTAAGATACAATTATAGCAATATACATAGTTCATATATACCAACATACTTGATGTTCATATTTTAGAATAGAAGCAAATCACAAGACCTGAAATTACTCTCATTTAGATCTATCTTTGTACAAAGTTTCAAGTAGAAATTAAAAAAAAACAGTTTCTCTCGTGTCCTTGAGAGAAGCTATGGCATTCATTTAAAAAGTATCTTAGAAATCTAGCATCTTCACAGTAATAAGCTAAGGGACGAACTCTTTTCAGAGTATTCAAATCTGATCCGATTCCATATAATGCACATCATCTCGACTCAAAAACCATCTATCATGTGGACGACTTCTCTCATTAATAACTAGTTATTGTGTATAAAAGCTGTCATTTGAACAACTATTTTAAGACAAGCACATTTAAAATGGATACAAAATCACTGATATGTATTGTGAAATATTTTTCTAGTTGAACAATTATGTTTTAGCATTTTGTGAAATATGAGTAAGAATACATAGGACATCTGAATAAGAATTTTTTTATTTTCAAATATGAATTTTTCCGAATACGATTACAATATGCTATGTGTTATTGAGAGATCAATCTAGAAGTCTGGATGAACGTCTTAGTTTATAATGAGATTGTCTCGATTTTAAGACAAAAAAAAAAGCATTCTGCCAATTATTGATTTATAATTAGATAAATATCGATAACAAGCAGATTGAAATTTTTAGTATTAAAAAGTAAATACAATTTTTTATTGTGATATTCAAGAATTTTTTGTATTGACCAATTCAATTCAAAATTCGTTGGCATACAAGTATTTCTTGAAAAAGAACACAGCTACAAATGCATTTTCTTGTTTGATAACTATTAAAGAAATATTAATGTTCGGTTTGATATCATTCACAATGTTAATTTTCGTTTTTTTTATGAGACATTCAAATGTATTGGTACTATATACGTCTGCTTCTACAATTAATAATAGATTTTAATTCATCATAACTATATCTCTCTTTTTCTTGACATTGTATGCACTTCCGAATAATATTTTTGATTCATTATAAAAGAAAAACTGTCCTTTACGTTCTTACATTTATACAAGTAAACAAGGAAGTAGAAAGAAACTCTTCTAGGGTGTCAGTTAATAGAGACAAAGCGAATGCATATTTTCTTTTTTCTGTTTCTGTTTAGTCAGAATACGAAATAACGAAGCAATATTGATCTTTTCTTCTCGTTCGTTGACAGTAAAAGTATTTATTAGTCTCTCTCTCGTCTTTTATAATACTATACTCAAAGAAAAATAAAGGTATCTGACAATTGATAAAAATACAACAAACATAAGCGCAACAACAAAAAGAAAAATCGAGAAAAGGAAGTAATGTATTTATAAAATGAAAGATGTTCTCATTTCTTTGCTTATCAGTATCTACTATCTACTATTGGTAATTAATATCAAACCTGTGATATAGAATGGATAGAAAGGACTCCATAATAGCTGAAAGTTCTATTGATGAAGAAAAAAACGAACAGCTGTCTATTGCCTCCAAAAATACAGCTGTAGTTACATCATTACCTGTAACATACACTAGTAAAGAACAACATGAATTGACGACTAACACCACCGAGTTCGTTCAAAACTTTCTTCTCATTTGGCTCAACTCCAATAATGACGAAGTAAATGAAAATAATAATCATAATAACCTAATGCAATTACGAAGTATTGTGAATACTGTGAAGACATTTACAAATATGAATCGATGTGTTGATTTTCTCACTGATATTCAAGATGAAAAGGCGTTCATGATTCTTGCTGCTACTGTTGCCCAATATATTGTACCTCTTATTCATGATATTCCTCAACTTAATTCCATTTATATTCTTTCTGAAAATGAATCAACTGTTGATTCTTGGATTCAGAAATGGAATAAAGTGAAGGGTGTATTTACAAATGTTTCGTCCATTTGTGAAAAATTGAACAAAGCCACTCAACAATTTGATCAAAATGCCATTTCAATTAGCTTTGTTTCAACAAATTATGATATATCGAACCGGAAATTAAATCAACTAGATCAATCATTTATGTACACACAAATACTCAAGGAAATTTTATTAACAATTCATTTCGATGATATAAACATTAAAGATTTTGCCAATTATTGTCGTAAACAATGTGCTGACAATGATCGAAAGTTAGATGCCATAGATAAAATGGAACACGAGTACCATCGTTATACTCCTATTTGGTGGTATTCCCACGAATGTCTTCTATATTCAATGATCAATCGTGCTCTACGAATGATGGATATTGATATCATCATTAAGATGGGTTTCTTTCTTCGTGATCTCCATCAGCATATTGAACAATTACATGTTAAACAATGCAGTGGTCATCAAAAACCAAAACCAATTATGGTTTATCGTGGTCAAGGTATGTCACATATAGACTTTGATCAAATGAAGAAAACCAAAGGTGGACTAATATCGTTTAATAACTTCTTATCGACTAGTAAAGATGAATCTCTTTCTAATGCTTTCGCTGAAAGCAATCAATGCAATCCTGATTTAGTAGGTGTACTGTTTGAGATAACTATCGATCCAGCTATATCATCGACTTCATTTGCTTTCATCAATGATGTAAGTCAATATAAAACTGAAGATGAAATTCTCTTCTCTATGCACACAATTTTTCGCATTAATGACATCACACAAATAAATAATAACAATCGAATGTGGAGAGTAAACTTGTCTCTCACTAATGATAATGATCAAGACCTTCATACTCTTATCGACTCAATCAGAGAAGACGTTCAAGGACCGACTGGATGGGATAAGTTAGGTCTGTTGCTCATTAAATTGGGTTTATTTAAAAAAGCTGAAGAAGTATACAAAATATTGTTTAATCATACGTTAAATGATAATGAGAAAGCAGATTTTTATCATATGCTTGGGGCAGTGAAGCATGGTCAAGGCGAGTACGAAGAAGCGATGTCATTTTATCAAAAGTCACTAGAAATCAACAAAAATATTCTTCCTCAAAATCATCCCAATTTGGCAAGATCTTACTTCAACATGGGTGGATTATATGATACCATTGGCAACTATCCGGCAGCATTTTCTTTTTATGAAAAAGCATCTGATATTTATCGGCAAACTCTTCCTTCGGATCATCCTGGTTTTGCTAATGTGTATAGTACTATTGGTCGTGTACATGAGCACAAAGGGGAATACTCCAAAGCAATGTCATATTACATCAAAGACTTTGAAATCAGTCAAAATAGTCTTCCTTGGAATCATCCTGATTTGGCTGCGTCCTACAACAAGATCGGTGATATATACGGCAAAATAGGACAGTACTCAAAAGCACTTTCATTTCATGAAAAAACACTTGAAATCTATCGAAAAACTCTTCCTCCAAATCATCCACAGGTAGCTGCTTGCTACAGCTGCATTGGTTCCATATATTCTAGCATGGGCGAATATTCTAAAGCACTTTCATCTCATGAAACTGCACTTAATATCTACCAAAAAACGTTACCTTCAAACCATTCCGTATTGTCTACTGTCTACGGAAATATTGGCTATGTTTATAGCAATATGGGCGATCACTCTAAAGCACTTTTATATCACAAAAAAAGTCTTGAGATTATAGAAGAAACTCTTCCATCGAATCATGATGAATTAGGTATTCTTTACAGTAACATTGGTAGTGAGTATTTCAAGATGAATGAATATTCGAAAGCAATTTTATATTACGAGAAAGCCGTTGAACTTATCAAAAAAAGTCTTCCATCAGATCATCCTAATTTGGCTGTTTTATATGGCAATCTTGGTTCAGTTTATGATCAGAAAGGTGACAATTCTAAAGCACTCCTGTCTTATGAAAAAGCGCTTGAGATTCTTCAGAAAAGTCTCCCTTCAAATCATCCCTATATTGGTAAGTCTTACGGCAACATTGGTCATATTTATGAAAACATCGGCGATTACAAAAAAGCACTTGCATTTTATGAAAAAGGACTTAATATCTATGAAAAAACTCTTCCTTCTAATCATCCTCATCTTGCTGCTGCGTACAGTCATGTTGCTTCAATGTATTTCAGTTTGGGCAACTATTTGAAAGCAGTTTGGTCTTACGAATTACAGTTTGAAATTTGTCAAAAAATTCTTCCTTCAAATCATCCTCAGTTGGCTATTGTGTGTAACAATATTGGTCTTATTTATGGCACTATGGGCGAATATTCGAAAGCATTTTCATTTCATCAGCGTGCTGTTCTCATTAGGCAGCATTCATTATTCCAAAATGATCCCAATATTCAAATGTATAAAGACAATTTGGAATTTATAAGAAGGAAATTGTAAAATTATATTAGCTTTTTCTTTTCAAACAAAAACTAGCATTTATCATTTTAAAAACAGAAATGTGTGTATGTGTGTGTGATGAATAATTTTATTTAATTGAGAATTACAAGTTGACAGGGTTAGCTTATTTGTAAATATGATCAAAATGAATTAGTTTCCAACATGTATTATAAGAATTTTTCCTGAATTCTTAAGTCTTAACAAACGGAATATCTTTGTTTTAAATAATAATTATTTGCAAGGCCACTGAAAGTTAGAATATGAATATAGAATGTTAGAAATGATTATTCATAAGTTAATACTTTGTCTTTTTCTTTCAAGCTGTAAAATTCATTTTACTAATAAATAAATCAATGAAGATCTTCAACAAATAAAAAAAACATTAACTCTTTTGCTTATCAGAAAATGTTATTCTGACGATTAGAAGGATTTACGTTTATTTGCAATCAATACCATATTTTATATAGGAGAATAAAGTAGTATACCAGGAAAAATGCATCCTATTTTTAAAAAGGTTTTATTTCTACATAAAGAAATTAATTTCATCCATAAAGTTTTAACACAAAACTATGTAGAACATTTTTTTAGACTTAAATGAAACTTTTTAAATGATAGACAAGTAAAAAAAAACGAGATCGGTATTTTGATATTGAACTTTTTGTTTTTCTTCACCTATAATATTCTGATTATCGAGTGAAATTGTGCTCAGAGATATGCAAAACATAACGATGTCGAAGATGTTTCAAAAATATTAGTATAACACCAGCTTCTTTTTTTAGAAAGCTTGTAAAATTGCATGAATTTCCACCCAATTTGAGTATTTATACGTACCACCATTAGAATCTTAGTGAATTTGATGGTTTCAAGTGACCAATTCTAATTTAGTGCAATCATACAAGAGGTTTTCAGAATTTTTCAAAAGTAGATACTACAGTGACAACTTTTTATATAGTTCTCCATGTCGCAGTAGCAACATGATAGTTTTATTTCTTCTAGGGGCGTGATGGGTGTAGATAAGAATATATGCCAGAGGACAAAACACACCTCACACTCATTATTGGAACAGTTCTCAAGATCGGAACTGATATAGAAATGTCGTAGGTTTTTGTTAATACTGATCCTATTTAAGAAAATGATATTTATTGTCTTATAGCGAAAAAGATGTAACAATAACATTAATTTAGGTTTAAAATTCAGTTAAATTTTTATCGATGTAACCGATCGACAACAAGAAACATAATTAAATTAAGAGGAGAAATTTTCGAGTTGGAAGAAGTCGAAGATACTCTTTATCATTAACTTCAACGTTAAATTTTATAGTCCTTTGATTATTCATCGTGTGAATCATTTATAATAGGTATTACTTGTCATTATAATAGACCTGGTAGACAGATAAAATTCATCATGATGGATTTTATAAGACAAAACTTAGCTTAGAGAAGCTCTCCTTTTCTAAGAGGAAAATTTTTAGATCTTTCAGCTCTGTATTAGCTTCGAAATATTCTATCTCTACTGAACATATTCCAAGAATTAAATTACAAATATAGAAACTGAAAAAGTAGAACATTTTCGTTGACAACAAGCAGAATTAACACATTATTTCGGTGTTTTTGATTTTCGAATAAATACTTGACAAGTTTATTCATATTGGAGTTTTGTGCAACCTGATACATTCACAATATATGAGCGTTTATATGCTTATGTGATTGTTTCTTTCCTTTTCGTCACTTCGAATATTGTATAAGGATTCTGTACATATCTAGCTTATATCTAATCTGCGTCTATGGGACTCAGTAAAATGTGTACACTTTTCTTATTGTAGTTTTTTTTCTCATTAGACAGTTGGAAAAGGTGGTGGAAGCCATCATTGTTTTGTATTTATGCTAATCTACGTTTAAGTTAAAGTGAATCATTCTAGCTATCATTCTCTTTTTATTGTCAGTCAATGCGATTCACCATTGGCTAGAAATATTCTAATAAAACGTCGAAAAAAGCACAACATAATTAATCCTTCGAGTACAGGCTCTAAATAGCTCTCATGAATATTAAAGATTTATTATTAAATGAAAAACAATACGCGATTATTTTTAAAAAGTTTCATATTTTTCACAACAAATTTAATCTTGTGCTCAAAGATTAATAAACATATAGCGAACTATGTAGAAAATTCTCAACGGTATTTATATATTTTTGATATTCTAGAATGATAAAAAGGGGAAAAGATGAAAAGGTTTTTTCTCTCATACAAATTCTTACAAGGTTAATTTTGCAAATAGAAAGTAACTCAAGATTCGTAGCTGGAAATCTTGTGAAAAAAAATCAAAGTCTTGAATAGTAAGATTTGAAGATGTTGTAGCAAAAACTTTGTAATTTTACTTTTAGGCGCCCAATTTTACTGAAAAATTTCATAAAAATTTCATGCATTTGATTACGATACTGTTTGTTAGTTTTGTTGTATTTCTATAAGATCAAAGAGAATTAATATTTCATTTGGTTAAATAGAGTATTGATGACTCTATCGAACGATATATAATTTTCATTTTATGTATCTTATATATTGTTTAAAAATTTGATCAATTTCGAGAATATTTAATCTTCTTTCAATTTATATATTCTCTTTTCATTGAATTTAGCTTTATTACAAGTTTCTTAGTTTTCTGACAACTTCTACCGTTGGGTATCTTTTTTATTGAAGTTCTTCGATTTTTTTTCATGTGAATATTTTATTTTCTGATGCATATTAATCTATTTAAATTAATATATGCCTAAATAGAACCCTTAATATTTTATCCATTTTGTATAATTTTCGCTCGACTTATCTCAAGTATTACATGCAAATTTTTGCAAAACTAAAAGAATTCGAGAAAGTTGTTTTTTTCTCATAAATGCACAAATAGTTGATATTTCAATAGTAATATTTAATTTTCTCTTAGAACTAAACTCAGCCTCGTTTCATATTTTACGCATGCTTAAGTTCGATCATCTCTTTCATTGAAATCAATTTCGCAATAAAATATGAGCGTATGAAAATTTCATTCTATCGTTCCTTGAAAATCTATCAAATTTTTATTATAACATATTAAAATCCATAAGACTCCTTAGTTATTTATTCATTAGAATCAATAACTAATTGATCTAATTTATTGATATTAATATTTTTCAATACAAATAACCGGTTTTAACAAAATAATTTAAGTAGGTAACAGAAAAGGCATTTGACGATAAAATATTGCATCATTCAATGGTAAATCAACTTTAGACTTATTCATTATAAGTTCTTCTAAACATTGATATGCAATTGGATCAGCATTTAAATGAAATTTATTAGCAAATAATTCATGTCGATTTAATAGAATTGGTAAATCAAACATACCAAATACACAAATACCACGTATTATACGTCCATAACAATTTTGTTCACCCCAATTTACAAATCGAGCTGTCCAATTAGTTGGATCACTTTTTGCTAAAATAAATTAACATACAAAATTATTTTTCATTCATTCATAAAATTTATTAGCACTCTAATAACAAATTACAATTTTGAGTCTCGTGCGAAACAAAAAGAACGAACATATATGGGCTCTTATGCACCATGTCATTACTCGCAACTACCCAAATAGAGCATAAACATCAAGACGAATAGCTATGAATAGTCACGATCAACCAAAATAAATCAGAAAATATTGTTAGCTAGTAACGTTCACTATGAAATTTCAGAAATCTGAGATGTGGTGATCAATTATAAACGAATATATGTTTATTTTCTGATTCTCTATTTCTCTAACAGTTTTGGATGATTTAGAAATGCGTGGTCAATATCGTTCTTTTAATTCATTTTTTTTCTCTATTGACGATAGAAGAAATTCAACGTCTACTAAATAATCAGTCACTCATGTTTACCTTTATAACCTCCTGGAGAATGTAAATGCGTATTATAATTCAACGTAGCCCAATAATGTTCATCTGGACTATATGTATCACGCGACCAATCAAGCAATTCTTTTGCTATCGGGCTTGTTAATACAAATTCGATGAATGCTCGTGAAAAAGCACCTTGAAAAGAAAGAACATAAATATTTCAATTGCAAAAAAAAAAGTATAAATAAATTTACCATAAGCTGATCCTTTAACAATTTCAACATTACCAGGTGGTGATGTCTTTTTTTCATTAGTTCTTCTTAATTGTGGTACTTGTTTATTATCTCCTTTGGATATATCAAAAGTTTGCCAAACATATTCTGTTCGTTCTTTATTTTTTGATTTCCATCGTCCTTCAATATCATTATATCCACGATAAATAGATAAAATTTTAACTAATTCACTATTTGTTTTTAATGGTAATTCTGTATTAGCAACATTTAATAAATATTTCCATGATGGATATTTAATTAAATCATTCATACAATTAAGATCAGCTTGTAAACGTGAAAATGTTGCATATAAAACTTTTTCTTGTTTACTTGCTAAAATAATATTATCAAAACATTGAACAATAGATTTAACAGCATTTAAAACATTCATTGATGCATCATTATCAACATGTATACAATAAAAATTTTGTGGACGATATATAAGACGTAATAAACGTTCAAATTGTTCAACATTTTCATACATAAGTATACTAAATGCTAATGGAAATTGTCGATTAATATTTTTATCTTCATGATGAAATTTTTCATTAAAACGTTCAGAACGATATATTGAACATTGTTCTTTAGTTATATTATATTTTTGATCAGATATTAATGGTAGATCTTTTAAATCAGATAAAAGTGCAAGTGCATGTTTAAATTCATCATAATCATTTTCATATAAATTTTCACATGAAACAGAATGATAAAATGGTTGTAAATGTTCAAAGAATTTTTTTGATAATAGATTATTATTATTATTATTATTGATTTCAGGTGGTAAAATTTTTAATTGATAAAATTTATTATCCACTGATAGATTTTCATAGTTTTTTAAAAATGTTATATAAATAAATTCAAGAATAA